CTGTGTGCGAACTTGGATCTGAACCCCAGTCCTGAGCAAGAGCAGTAACTCCTGAGTTCTCTCACCAGCCCCCTCTCTTTATTATTTTTGATTATTTATTTGTATGTGATTATGTGCTGATGAGTTCAGGGAGCTGTAGGACAGTTTTCAGATCCCCTGGAGCCTCCTAATGTGTGTGCTGAGAAACTCCTGTGTACTGAGGAGTACACAGGAGGAGTACTCCTGCAGGAGGAGGAGTACACATCCTTAATTGCTGGGCCACCTCTCCTGCCCAAGGGGACTGTATTTAATGGAGGGAAAAGGGGAAGCTTAGGTACTGATTTCTTTTCCCTCTGACACCCACACCACATCTCAGCTGCCAGGCTAAGTCTGTGTGCAGCAGGACTGTGCCAGATTGTGCTTGCCTCTTAAGCCCCTCAGCAGAGCAGGAAAGGAAGTTGGGATGAGTGTGTGGCCTATGGCCCTGGGTTAAAGGCCTACTTCACTATTACCTGTGGAACCTGTTTTTAATCTCTGTTTATCTGAGGAAGTAGAGAAACAGTGGCACAAGTTAACTGGGTGATAGACCCTCAGGTTAGTAATCACCAGGAAAACAAAACAAAAGGCTCCTTCGGGAAGTCTTAACATTCTTAGACAGATCTTGTAACTTGTCCTTTGTGACAGGACAGGTGGCTCATGTCTTCAGGTGCCATTGAAGTCTTTCTTCTGTCCAGTGTAAACTAGGACCGTTGACACCCACCTCAGAGAGGAGATGTGGAATGCTCCCAAGAGCTAGTCGGTACGTTTCTGCTTCCAGAAGGGTGTGCCCTAGCATATAAGCCTGAAGAGAGCTTCAGGGTCCAGAGGTCAGGGGAGGCTGGCGTGGCCACAGCCTAGCTTAGCCAGGGGCCTGGCTTTTGACCCACAGGAAGCCAGCCACACTGACAGATAAACAGAAGCGTATCCTGAAGGCACAGCACCAGGAGACTCTCCATACAGGATCAGAACCTGAGTCTTGGTTGTAGGTCTGCTCTGACTTGCAGTGGGACATGTAAATTAACTGAGACAAGGCCTTTGAAAAAAATATATCCCGGGCAGTGGTGGCGCACGCCTTTAATCCCAGCACTTGGGAGGCAGAGGCATGCGGATTTCTGAGTTCAAGGCCAGCCTGGTCTACAGAGTGAGTTCCAGGACAGCCAGGACTGCACAGAGAAACCCTGTCTTGAAAAACCAAAAAAAAGAAAAAAAATATATGACCCTACTTCTCCATTTGTTAAACATCCATTGCATTTCAACATGTAGTTGGCGCAAGACGCTTATTTCTCAAATAGCAGTTCATTTCTTTGTAGAGTTAGCCAGGATATCTAATACAGACTCCTGGGCTACACCTGACCTCCTGAGTCAGAATGCAGGGGTGAGGAGGGATCTGTGCTCTATTAAGCTTCTCCAGTGGTCTCTGCAAAGAGAGTGGTTTGCCCCAACTACATTTTTGGTGTTTGCTTTTTGAGACTGGGTCTCATGTTTCATAGGCTGGCTTTGAATTCACTAAGTAGTAGAGGATGACCTTTTGAACTTCTGACTCTCAAGGGCTACAAGGGTGGGCCCCCACACCTGGATTTTTTTCATTGCTGGAGATCAAGCCTAGTAGGGCTTTGTGCATGCTAAGTAAGTGCTGCATCCTCAGCCCTCCCTTTGGCATAATTTGAATAATTAGCAGTTCAGAATAATTTGCCCAGTACTGCACAGTAGGTGTAGTTGTCACCCCATGTCTGCCACGCTCCAGGGACCTTACTCACACTGCTGTGGTGGGGAGGAGAGGGATGTGCAGGGCCTTTTGAGCAGAATGTACAAAAGAACAGCAGATTTTGCAGTTCATCTCTTACTGATAATTTTAATATAAATGGTTTCAATATTGCCTAGAAGAAACCATGCCCAAGTATGTTTAAAGTGGTCGTCACTCTGTATGAGAACCACACAAAGCACGGGAGGAAACGTTGTATGAGCAGGGCCAGGTCATAGCTGCTGTGAGTTCCTTGGACTGTAGAGTCTGCTGACACGGCTGAGCTCAGCTGTCAACACACAGACGTGTCCAGAGGCAACATATCAACAGACACACAAATATGTTCAAAAATGTTTTCAAAGACTTTAATTTTTTTTTTTTATTTTTTGGTTTTTCCAGGCAGAGTTTCTCTGTGTAGCCCTGGCTATCCTGGAACTTTATTTTTATAGACAAGGCTGGCCTCAAACTCAGAGATCTGCCTGCCTCTGCCTCCTGAATGCTGGAATAAAGAGGCGTGCACTACCACTGCCTGATGACCTTAAAGTTTTTTATTTTTGAGACAGGGTCTCACTGTCTCAAAGCACCAAGAAAAGGAATGTGCCACCATACCTATGTAGTTTTTAATTTTTTAAAGATTTCATAAGTATGAGTGTTCTGTCTGCATGTATGTTGGTGTCTAACAGGCATGCCTAGTGGCCTGGGAGGTCAGAGGAAGGTGCTGGATTCCCTGGAGCTGGAGTTAGGGAATGTTGACTGCCATGTAGTTGCTTAGACTAGGATCAGGGTCAAGAATAACAAGTGCTTTTAACCACTATGACATCTCTTCAGCTGTGTGTGTGTGTGTGTCTATTTTTTGGGTTTGTGCATGAGTACAGCCTTTCTTGCTAGAAAAGTAAGTTGGATCCCCTGGAGCTGGAGTTACTGGTGGTTGTAAAATGCTCACTTTGAGTGCTTGAAACTGAACTCAGGTTGTCTTAACCACTGAGCCATCTTTCCGCCCTCCCCTTCCCCGCTTCTTTTATATCCTCTGTGTGTGTGTGTGTGTGTGTGTGTGTGTGTGTGTGTGTGTGTGTGTGTGTGT